GTATTTTTTTTTTTTTTTTTTTTTTTTTTGAACGTTTTAACGTTAGAAGAGTAGACTCGCATTGAGGATGACGGAGAACGCAGCAAGATTAAGAAAGAATTTTGAAAAAGACGCGCGGTTTCTTTTAATGATTGTGCGTCGCTTTGTCGAATAAAGCAAGAGAATGATTTTGAGGACGAATAAATGTCTAACTCTTACTACCTAAGAATACCTTATACACCCGGTTCCGTTCTGTTAACGTGTCGAAAAGGGAGTACATCGCGTTCAACATGGACACCACCTCCATCGGTGTGATTCTGCTGCAGATCTCTGTAAATGTCACTACGTCCGAGAATAAAATTGAAACGCTGTCGAACATCTGAAATAGTCATGATAGTGAAACGTGTTAATCAATCACGGTCAGAGATGATTACTCTTCTTCGACATCCATCGGTTTCACGTACGATAGCGTAAATGGTAGCCGTAACGAGAGGATACGGTACGTAATTTCGGTAAACGTAGCAATCGATAATTTCGTAATTATTTACAAAAGGAACGATCTGATCGATTTCAACCACTTTGAAATACGTTGTCAAGGTCGGTGTTCCGATCAACTTTTACCTGTACGCGTTATTGCAAAGTTTCTGTTTCAATGAAATAATTTGGCAAATAATTACCGATAACTTTAGACGAGAAACAATTTCTAAAATAATAAGCTAAAATGTTCAAAGATTCGAAACTGTCGTGTACGTTTGTACATCGAATCATCTTGCATCGAGTTATAAAGTTCGCGATGAAGAATGTGATTCGCGAAATCTATAAAGACGTTCGAATTCTAAAATTTGTAACATCGACGATGACGAGAAACTGGTTGCTTTATGACAAAGAAAAATACTTTCGTAGTATCGGTATTCGATGGATGATAGACGATTTATTCGCGTATAACAGACAACGAAGATTCGTTTTAAAGCATTGCTCTTACCTCGCACGTGTCTATCGGACTCTCGCCGTTTCTCAAACGATCTGCCACCTGTTTCGGTATCATCTGATACAGCAATTCGTCCGTGCGTTTCATCTCCTCGTCCAACTTTCTCATAGACTCCTCTAGCTTTTTGCTTTTCAATTGCTCCTGGTCTAAAGCTAACTTCAGTTCCACCGATTGTTGAGTGCCAGCAAGCATCAGATCTCTATAACAAAAGGGTCACGTGCTTTCTATCTATACAATCTGTTTCATCATAATCATCGTGATACTGGTTTTTCGCAGCAACCGAGGAACTGTAACACACGCACACGCACTTTGTATTTGCACTTACGCTTCACATTTGCACTCGCACTTGCATTTTGTATTTGCACTCGCACTTCCACTTTGTATTTGCACTTTGCACCGGCATTTTCCGTTTGTTCCTTGCGCTAACGTTCCGTACACGCTGCAGTTTCAAGTCTGCTCTCAAGAAGTAGACTGCAATGTGCACGAAACGTTTGCGCAAAAGATAAAGGAAAGTGCAAGTGCATGTGCATGTGCATGCGCAAGTGCATATGCATGTGCAAGTGCAAGTGCAAGTGCAAGTGCATGTGCAAGTGCAGGTGCATGTGCAAGTGCAAAGTGCAAAGTGCAAAGTGCAAAGTGCAAAGTGCATGTACATGTGCAAGTGCAAAGTGCAAAGTGCAAAGTGCAAGTGCTGCCAAGAAACCAATATCGCGACGTCTCGCCACTGTGAAAATTTTAAATGTGAAAGTAGCTATGATTAGAATTGCGTATAACAATGTATCGTGCTGATAAATCTCTATGGATATCGCGTACGAAATTCGTTTCTCAGTCGACGTTAATTGGTAAAGCGGCGTTTGTTAGGAATTGTGAAAAGTTTATCGCTCCTTTTCTTAAGAACAACGTCTGAAATATTAACATTCTGTGGCTTAATGAATAAAAAGAAAAGTAGAAACTTTCTAAAGTTTTACAGTTAACCCATTAAGGACCAACATTTATCTGTGATTTCTTTTTGATCGATTCTCGCTATTTGTATCGTAATTATGAGAAAGAATTCCGAAAGTTTGTTTAATATTCCTCTCTGGATGCTGTAATTTTTGTGGAATTTGAAAAAATTGAAGTACTCTATAGTACTGGAATAAACTATAATACTTGTTTGCTAGATTATTTTTTGTTTCCAATTTGTATAATATGTTCATTGTTCTAATATATTTCTCAACCTTGGAAAAATAATAATCTACGTCCTTTTAACAACGTTGAATTATTTTACTTATTAATCACTAGTTAATCCTCTTACTTTTTCTTTTTCCCTTTTATTGTTATTCTTATTGCGTTAGGCTTTCGCCCGTTACAAGCATAAGTAATAAACGGTAATAGGTAAATAAAAATTTAATTTAGAAAGAAGAAAAATAGATAAATAAAGATGAAAATAGATAATACAAAGTCGCTTTATACATCTACCATACAAATTTAACGACGTAAGTTAAATAATATCGATAATATCCATGTCAATTTATTGTATGATAGATTGCTCGTACGCAGATTATAACAAAAGAAAAAAAAAATGATACGTAACGATACCTTGATAAAATTTTCTCCGAATTTAAACGAAACAACATGTACATTAAGGCAACTTAGGAAGGCAGAAGTAATAAAGAAATGCACTGATACCTGCTAAAGTCATGCATCGATAGATCATTAATGTAGAGACCCGTTGCGATCAGGGAATTCAAATCTGGCATAACGGGCGTACCAAGATACATCATCATCTTCCAGTTATCCATGTATATCATCTGACCTAATGAACGTCGTGGATATTTGTTACAAAGGTTCAAACAATCAATGTTGAAACGATGAAATTGCTTTGTGTCTATCGCGTTCTTACGTTGTCTCGTATTTTACGAACGCGAAACACGCGGTTCACTGTATTCGTTTCGAATTAAATCGCTCGAAACGTTTACACGTTCGAATTCGGAAAATATTTTAAGCTATACGTGTCACTCGATAATATGTGTTCTTTTTTCTCTAAATCGATGATATTTAAATTGCAAACTAGAAGCTTCCATTAAATAGCAATGTCTATGTATTGCACTTTTGATACGTACGTAGTCTGTTCCAAAAGCGTGTGCAAGATTTATTTATAGAAACATTTCTGGGTAACATTTTTCGGAATTAGAGCGATCGCCATAGTCGACGATGATTTTCTCTTTTCTTGAGCATATGGGTGTTTTACGGCCTCGCTGTTTCAAACGAGATAATAATTCTAGTATCGATAATTTGCTAATGGTTCTTCTCATTATTTCGCGTGTCTTAACGCCGACGAACAAGGCTATGTGTAACGTGAATATTTTAATAAACTCCCCAGTCTACGATTGTGCGAATGTTCTTTCTCGGAACTAACAATCTAAATTATAAAGCAGACAGAGTCGTTATCTTTGGAACAGACTATACGTAAAATATAGAAAATAGAGTAAGAGAACTAAAAAAAAAATTTTTTTTTTTGTCACTATCGCCTATTAAATTAAAGAAAAAACGTTGCAAAATACGTGTCGTTCGAACTCAGTCGACACAACAGTTAACATAGAAAATCACCGCTATCTTCTTCGTGTTGCATAAAAATGATTTATAAACTTGCGAGACACTCTGCGTGTATATAATTTCAGGCGACGCGTCAATTTAATCAAGAATTTAAATAAAAGAAAATATGGGCAAATTATACTGCAATTACGTCATACGAGGATGATACATCGAGAAGAAATTTCAAAGACTCTGATTAGGTCCATATTTGTTTCGCAAATTGACGGCGACGTAAAATCAATTTAAAATCGGCAAAGTTTTTACAGATAGTAGAACTTTTTAAGTTAAAATTGTTGTCAAAGTTAGCAGAGCCCTTTGCGTCGGTAGTCTAATTAATTCAACGGAATAATTAATATATTTACAAAAGCACGTAACAACGTGGCGATAGCAAGTAAATTTGTATAAATTGCAGCAATATATTATTCAATAACGTGGTATGTTAACTACAGCCCGATAACAAGAGCTACGATCACCGAGTTTATTAGGCTCGGTTAATTAAAAATTAATTAGAAAATATACGACTGCCCAAAGTAATCGATCGAACAATTTCTGACAGAACATCGATCGCTGCTTCGTGTGTTTCCCGCCTTAGCCGTGAGTCTTACAAAGAAAATGCTTGTCTTTCGCTAGAACCGTTCACGTACCTATTTCATATACATAGATATACGTTATCATAAATAATATTTCCATCGTTCGAAGTGATAATGTCGAGGGACACCGATACACGATCTAATTTAAGCAAAAAGGAACGAGCTTCGACGTAACAACGAATGTTTCACCTCGTTGTAAGTGGAATATTTGTAAAATCCTAAAACATAGTACGAAAAATCGAGATATACGATACACGATATAAACAAATGGTATAGTGTTAAATTCTTTAACGAAACGAAATAACGGTATCAAGTGGGAGAATAATCGATCTTTACGAGTGTAAACCGTTAAATGGAAATGTCAAAGAAATTACCTTTCAATCTCAAGGTTCTGTCATCTACCGAGTCGAGTTCGTCGCTCAATAAAATTTCATTTTTCTGTCGATCTGGTGGCCGTTCTGTGAGAATAGGTTCCACGGTGACTAGCTCGAAGATATTATTCGTTCTGTTTAAAATCTGCAAAGAACGGGTCACGATTATTTCCGTGAATATGCGTAGCTTATTTTAACGATCTAATTCGATGTATGAACCTAATTAAAGAAACGAGACCTGAACGAAGATTTAAGTATAACACAAATTAAATATAACAATTTAAGATATTTCTTTCTCGTAATGTCCATTTTGCTGAGAAATGTGCAAAGGTTCGTGGTTTAAATATACGCAGAAATAAAAGCTATAGATATAAATTATAACATAGAACAGGAGTAACAAGGAAAGGCAAGATTTTGGCAAGATCCAATGAAGTAAACTGAGGAAAAGAGAGATTAAAGAACGACATAATGGTAAGAAGATATTACCAAAGGGAGATAGTTCGTATTGCCAGTTAAGAATAAAGAAAAGCTGGAAGAGATCAAGGAATAAGGAAAAGCACAGTACAGAATGAGCAGAGAGGTGAGAAAAATAGAACATTTTTTAAAAATATACGTACCGAGTGAAATTTGAATGCAATGAGTGGCCTGACAAGGTCGAAGAAGTGTGTAATCTTTTTGCCAACTAGATCGGGTAATATTACCATCAACGAATTTCCGATACTCCTTACGATCATGTCTGATCTAAAAACGAAAGCTTAATTACGCGCTGTACACGCAGATCGATCGATAAAAAGATAAATAAATATCATTGGTAACGATAGAAACTTCACCAGGATAAGGAAAATGTTTTATTGTATTATTTATAAACGATGACAGTCTTGAGATTTTCTGACCGAGACGTTTCTGCATTGCCAGCATTGCAACTAGCTTCATCGGTGACCTCTAGACACGCACCGATGCTGTATCAGCTACTTGCAACGGAATATGTGCATTCTTTATATTCCAATGTTCCAAATGAAATAATCCGACAGTTTTCGAGAAGAACAAATTGCTTGACGTGTCGTCAGCGTTGCAACTAGCTTCGTCTAGACACGTCACCGATGCTGTACCATCCAGTTGCAAACTAGCTGATCAACCGTGGAATATGTAGATTCTTTATGTTCCAATGTCCCAAGCAAAGTAATCTAAAGGCCGCTGTCCACGAAGGGTCGCGCATTCGTATGATCTTAGACTGTGAATTTTGCCAACGTTTCGAGGTTCTCAAGTAAAAGGATCGAGGTGAATAGATCGTGATAGGCACTGCTGCTGGTGTACGAGATTTTGTCTTCATCCGGGTTTGCCTTCTTCTCAGTTAGGAATCGCGTAAAAGCCCGGACTGTGAGCGCCGGGATTCAAACCTGGTCTTGAACGTTCGTAACCAGTTGCGCAAACCACAGCTCTGCCGTCGTCTGGCCGAGGATAGGGTCTTTGTGTAGCAATCCGTTGGAAAGTTTGCTGTCGAGTTCCGCTACAGGATCAACCTGTATCGTCCGTACAATATCCTCATTATTTATTGACGAATTGGACTTTCGTCGAGAACCTCGAAGTATCGACGATGTTATTGATCGGCTGAAGACATCTGTCGGACGTGCATCTGTCATCGAATTAAGCCGAATTTACGTGGTTTCAGTTTGGCAGAACACGACGAACGAACGATGCCCTCGTGCTCGCATGATCGGCGCAAGAAACGAGGACGAAGGCAGCGTCGATCCGCCGTGTTCCTGCAAAGTGAAAGAACATAAATTCGGCTATGACATCGCCGGTAACACGTTGCAACTATAAGAACTAAGAAGGTAGCGATCGAGGACGAAAGCGTGACATTTTAATAACGCGACAAAATGTATCCTGCTAGTCGTAGATGGATCGTCCAGCAGACCAAATGTCTTGCGCGTCTACGAAGCGACTCTGATGGACACGACGTTCCGCTGACGTTCGTGGACAGCGAGCCTAAGAGTTTGTAACAAGATTCCTCAGAACTTCACGGTTTGTTATTCGGTTTTCTTGATATTGTATGAACGAAGATGTAAATAAACTTGCCGCAACATACCCGAAAACGATACAAAAAGGAAATATTTCAAACAAGACGGAGGCTCCTATTGGCAAATGCTTCTCCTCGCGTGTCATAGTCAACGAGGCTTGGGTAAAAGCTCTGTTATCAAAGGTGAGCTGAAAAGTGACGTGCACGGTGTCGAATAGAATCTCCTCGCGCACCAGCTCGATCTGTAATTCCTTGTGATAAAAGTGTCGGGCCACCTCTCTTATCTGACCCATCGTGTAATAAACGAATCCGCGTCGTTTGCTCCTGTAATGGAGGGTCAGGCCTGCAATGCACGTAATGAAAGTAAATGTAGACCACGAATTCTATTCTTAGCCGATGATATTACGAATAGTCTGTTTTTTCTATTTTAACGCTTCGTAATTATAGACCAGTGAGACTGGCAGTAACGAGGATGACAGTTGATGATGAAAGAAGTACTTTTTGGCTAATAGACGCGTGCTCGATGCTGCTTTGTTCTTTCGCCGGTAAAAATGTAAAATCTACACACTCGCAAGGGTCACACCGATCGACTCGGAAAATTGAAAATTGGGCAAAAATTACTTCTTGACGTTAAAAGCGCTATTTTTTGTAAACTTGCGGAAACGAGTGGTTCATCTTTATGGAATTAAACGTTCTTCGTTCTAGCTGGACCAATGACATCGCAAAGCTTATTATAAGAGATGCGATTGATCGTTTTACTTTCTGAGATGATCGTGTGAAACGACGAATCGCGTAATTTCGCGGTACATGCGATTCATTTGGAAGTTTTTTACCTTGCCGCGTCTCGTTCTCGCAAATAAACGAAGGCGCTCTCATCCTAGGGTAGGAGAATTTCAGATATTCGTGTAAATTGTCCAATCCATTAAGGAAATCTCTTACGTGACGCCCAAGTACTGAAAGCACACGATCATAACCGTACTGGCCAACGAATCCTACGAAGTGTACACCCATCTGATCGAAAAATTCTTTTTCCGTTACGCCAAGTACCTGCAGTACAAGTTAGAAATGTATTCGATTGAATTAAACGATATCAATACACAGGGTATACAGTATAAAGGTACGTAAGTGATAAGGTAGAGTAAAGCTTTTCTAATTAACCCATTAAAAAACCAGACAGTGAAATAGCACGTGATAGTCACGTAAACGTAACATTAGCGAGGAAACGTAGAAAGAAAGTGGTCTGTGTACTCTTTCAGGCTGCCAATGTGCAGAGTGAGTCACCTAAGAGTTTAAACTGAAATGTTCTCGATATTATTATAACCGATTAGCTGTTTTCGACGAGTATACTCGTCACGAAGAAACGGCGATGTTTCGTGTTGTAGCGAGCCCTGTAATTCAGTAATAAAATTAAAAAACAGTCGTTTTATTACAATTCTTAATTCTTAATTCTGCGTTATAACAGCCACGCGTACTCTGTGTTTGACGAGTATACTCGTCATCGCTTACCTTTTGCGACATATTTTAGGTGCAGAGTTTTCAAAGAAGTCGAAACAGCTAACTGGTTAATTATATCGGAAAATGTATCGGATAAAAGTCGAATGGCTTCAAGGGAAGCATTTTTCTTTCGACGAAACCTTTTATTTGCACGTGTTCTTTTCTTCAAGTTTGTTCTTTTAAACAACGCGTGTCTCACCGATGTGTGTCTCTTAAATGAAAACTTTTAGTCTTAATGATATTCATTGACTATGCCGAATATGCCGAGATAAAATGCCGAGTCTTGCGGACAACTTGTTCGAAAAACGAGTAGTTTTGAAAAGCAAATGTGAACTTGACCATCGAAAAATAGCCATGTTGATTTCATCTTCTTTTCATTGTACAAGAAAGAACATTTATTTACGTATTATCGTTTGTTTCCAATTTAAATCCAAATGAAAAATAAGATAAAACAATAAATTATCTCTGGCGTCGTTCAAACGACTTTTGTTTAAATAAGAAATCTTATTCGAGATTAAAATATTGTTTCGTTATGTTATTTATTATTCAATTGGTAAATAGGACCTTGACCAACACTGACTATAACGATATACATATATCGAAATAACTTAAGTACCTAGCACAAGTATTAAGTACATAGCATTAGTATTAGTCTGATTAAACTTCATCGATACCTACTTCCACTAAATGTCCACTTATTTTTGTCTCCGACTACTGTAAGTCATGTGTTCCTTTTACAATCGATCATTAATCATGCACTTGCGCAACGAAATTAACAAACACATACGTGAATAGCCTTCTTCGCTAATCTCGGTATAAGGTTCTCAGGGTAGACCTGATGAACGCTGAAACTAGGTTGATCTACGGATGCTTGTCGTCGGATCTCCTCCCATCTATCTTCCCCGTACACCTGTCGTATGTACTCGGACATGTTTTCCAGAATTAGGCCGTACATCTTCGCTAATTTTCACTCGTTTCCTACTATAAACAGAAGAAGAAGAAAAAGTATAGAGAATGTAAAAAAAACGAAGAGTTTGATAGCTTGAGGTTCTTATTTCATTTTCTACGCATCGATCTTTCCGTTAACATCAAATGATGGGATAAAATTGGATTTCCAGTCAAGTTATACGATTTATCTTGTAATTCGCCAATTTCTGTTACGAACGATGCTTACTATTCGATGTAACGAAGTACAAGTTGGAAACTTGTTATTAGTGGCACGATAAATAGTACAATATTAGATTGCCACAAAAGTTCTTTTCGTTTTATATGGAAATAATGAATGCACAACATTCTGTGTTTTATATTATTTTATTGAATCATGTGTGGTCCATTTTATAATAGTAGAACGAAGTAATAGAAGCACAATATTTTATATTTTAAGTTATTTCACTGAATCTTGTGTGGTCCATTCTGTAGTAGTAGAACAAAACAATAGAAACACAACATTTTTTGTTTTATATTATCTTATTGAATTGTGTAGGATCCTTTGTGTAGTAATAGAACAAAGTAATAGAAGTACAACATTTTATGTTTTATAGTATTTCACTGAATCATGTATAGTCCATTTTGTAGTACTAGAACAAAATAATAGAAGCACAACATTCTATGTTTCATATTATTTCACTACATCATGTATGGTCCATTTTATAATAATAGAACAACATAATAGAAGCACAACATTTTATGTTTTATATTATTTCATTGAATCATGTAGGTCCATTTTGTAATAATAGAACAAAGTAATAGAAGTACAACATTTTATGTTTTATAGTATTTCACTGAATCATGTATAGTCCATTTTGTAGTACTAGAACAAAATAATAGAAGCACAACATTCTATGTTTTATAATAGAAACACAACATTTTTTGTTTTATATTATTTCACTGAATCATGTATAGTCCATTTTATAATAGTAAAACGAAGTAATAGAAGTACAACATTTTATGTTTTATAGTATTTCACTGAATCATGTAGGTCCATTTTGTAATAATAGAACAAAGTAATAGAAGTACAACATTTTATGTTTTATAGTATTTCATTGAATCATGTAGGTCCATTTTGTAATAATAGAACAAAGTAATAGAAGTACAACATTTTATGTTTTATAGTATTTCATTGAATCATGTAGGTCCATTTTGTAATAATAGAACAAAGTAATAGAAGTACAACATTTTATGTTTTATAGTATTTCATTGAATCATGTAGGTCCATTTTGTAATAATAGAACAAAGTAATAGAAGTACAACATTTTATGTTTTATAGTATTTCATTGAATCATGTAGGTCCATTTTGTAATAATAGAACAAAGTAATAGAAGTACAACATTTTATGTTTTATAGTATTTCATTGAATCATGTAGGTCCATTTTGTAATAATAGAACAAAGTAATAGAAGTACAACATTTTATGTTTTATAGTATTTCATTGAATCATGTAGGTCCATTTTGTAATAATAGAACAAAGTAATAGAAGTACAACATTTTATGTTTTATAGTATTTCATTGAATCATGTAGGTCCATTTTGTAATAATAGAACAAAGTAATAGAAGTACAACATTTTATGTTTTATAGTATTTCACTGAATCATGTATAGTCCATTTTGTAGTACTAGAACAAAATAATAGAAGCACAACATTCTATGTTTTATATTATTTCACTGAATCATGTATGGTCCATTTTATAATAGTAGAACAAAATAATAGAAGCACAACATTTTATCCGAATTTTCGATTATCCGAGGTAAGCGCCGATCCGCATCACGCTGTTTTCTTAAAAACGAAAAGATCGATTATGATCGTGAAAGCCGATACGATGATTAGTCAAACTGTTAACGTAAAATATCGATCAATTGTTATGTTGATCGCTACAGATGTAACATAATATAGATAGGATACAATATAAAGTTTGAAGTGGCTGCCCGTAAAATATTTTTCATCCGAAGACGAAGAGTCTTCTGCGAATGGGCCATGCAAGATTTATGACACAAAGCTCGTAATATTTCACCACTTTACATCTGTATAATGATTCAGCATGGAATTAAAATGAAATGCTTGTCAGATATGAGCAGAGTGCATTTGATTTATTTCCGAAATGCTTTACATTTCAAATGTTTCAACTTAATCTTCTTAAAATAGTCGATGCACCGTGTACAGAAAGAAGCAGAAATCCGAGAACGAAGACACGTTGAAACAAAGAACGATATATTTGTAAAAGGAAAGATCACATGGGGGCAACAAAATCGTAAAAGTTGTAAGAAGTTAACTTTGTGTCGCGTACAGTTGTAACGTTACAATTGAATCCGATAATAATCAATCTCGTGCCTCGGTGATGCACCGTAAAATGAAAACTAGAGGAAATGTTAGAAAATACTTTATTATTGAGAAAGAAAATACCTCGATATCAGCGTAAATTTCGTATTTCTTAAATTACTTCTTAAATTTTTATTCTGTGCTTTATTGTGTATTTTAATTGTGACGAATTAATGTGTATTTTAGTTGTAACGATAGAAAACCATTTGATCATAGAGTTATCAATGATATGTCAAATGCATGATACATACATGACATTAAGTTTAGAAAATTTCTTAAATTTCCTAAAACCATAAGCTTCTTGCGACTTAACGCAACGACAACAAAATAATTTAACAACAAACGAGATCTCTGAAGTGCGGAATGTAATAATACGTATTCTGATTTATATTTAACTAATGATATTGTTATATATGCAATATATCTGCATATGCAGTACATCATAATACCCTACACGTTTCAAATTAATTTCCAATTTTCAATTTTATTACGTACATTTAATACGATTAATATTCGACGTGTGAAAAACCGAGAGATTTGTTTCCAGAATTTGCTTCTTCCAAGAAGATAGTGTAAATTATCCTCCACATTTCGATTCGTGAAATTACCCAAATATCTTTTGTGCAACTGAATTATTATCATAGCGATATCTGTTCTATGGTTTCATTTCTGACTTGTCAGATAACTGTCGATGACTATGTGCATAAGTAGATCGCTTGCGATATCTCGATAAAAGCGATGCTCTTAGAAACTTAACTTAACTTACATTTAATTATCCCCTTTCGAAAATAGATACAGCCGCTCGCAAAAGTGTTCGAACACTTAGCACGATAAATTTTTATCAACACGTTGTGCGCACTACGCGAAACATTCGGAAATTTCGTTGCCAGTGTAACGAGCCACTGCCATCGTCATTATAACATCGTGATTTATAATTGTAAACTTTGAAACAAATTTTTAAAAAATAATAGTAGACCATAGAAATTACGACAAATTTATTGCCAATTTTTTTACACCTGGTCAGAAATTGGTACGTGGCAATAGTCGCAAACGTACAATTAATGATAAAGATGACAATCATTCAGATATCGTGGCTTATTAATATAGCGAATGACCGACTGTTCAAATACTTTGGTCGTCTTTGCAAGGTATAATACGTACGTCCAATAGATATCTTGTAACGTTGATATAAAATTTCACATTCGTTTCAATTATTACGACTATGATCGAGATGGTTGTGTTCCGTTACAGTGAACTTTATATTTGAATGAAAATGTTTTGTACAGGGTGGTTGATAACTGGCGGTACAAGCGGAAAGAGGGTGATTCTACGAGAAAAAGGAAGTCGAAAATATAGAATACAAATTTTTCGTTCGAGTCTTTGTTTTCGAGAAAATCGACTTTGAATTTTCGCTCGGTACGCGTGCGGTACGTTATAACGTTCTCAATGGAAAAATTAAAAAAAAAATTTTTTATTTTATATTTTCGACTTCTTTTTTCGCGTAGAATCACCCCCTTTCCGCTTGTACCACCAGTTACCAACCTTGTATATAAAAAAGTTTCTAAAGGATCGCATATTTCAATTAATTTCAAGCGATCTTCTAGCCTAATTACGTTTAATGATTTTTAGACGATTTCCAATCCTTGTCATAAAAATAGATACGTTGCAAACAGTCTTGTCCGCTATATGTTAGATAATTGTGTTGTGTAATCTTACTGCGCGTTACGTTTAATTAGAAAATTTCGTTCCATCGATTATTCTTTATCTCGCTTGTATCAACTGCTGGCAAATAAAACACAGTAAATATAAATATAAATATAAATGTCATAAAGTAGTGTAGTAAGGTAAAAAAAGTGTCATAAAAGTTACAATAAATATAAATGTTACGTGCGATTCCTTCAAGATTCCAATAATTACAGACGATACTTACAGAGCTTACAAAATATTACGAACTGTCTATATTTCATTGAAAAGATCGTACATTTAGAACTTGTCGAAATCGTGTTAATCATTGGATGCTTAAGTCGATGAGCCGTCAAAGATACGAATGGTAATACTATTTTATATTCGTCATAGTAATATAGTATGTCTAAATTTATTTTTAAGTAATTAAGTAATTTATTTTTAACTTTTAAAATTATTACTCTCAATTGACCGGTCAATTCGATAACACGAAAATTTTTATATCGTTTCGTACGTTGACACGAGACCAATAATACGGTTAAAAAATTTAAAAAAAAAACTATGCAATCCAAATGTAAAAAATTTCTAATCCGGAAAGAAAGGACCGAAGCGATGATAAATTAGGAAGAAATATAAAAAGTTTGGAAGAGCGAGTTGGGAATACTTTCGCGAGCCAGCTGTATGCAAATATCCGACGCAATCCGATTCACTTAACTCAACTATGTTAAGTAAACTGTTTATTACATCGCTTCTTGGCATTGATACCAGGTCGGATAATAGAAAAAGCTGGATTTTATATTTATTGCACAAAATAAACTTTAGAAATCTTCTCACTTGTCGCGATTTATTCTGGCCCGTTGCTGTCGCTGGACCAAGTCCTTTTACCATAACCGACGAAAATAACTGAAGATCAAGGAATTCGCGTTGGAACGATATTTCCCGAGCGATACGCGGGACGATTTTGACCGCTTTCGGATGCTCGTCGCG